GTTGTGGCCAGCATGTTCTCTTGATTAAAATTCTTTAAAGCTTTATGAAGTAGATGGTTTATAGTTTACACTGTGGAATCTAATGTCATATGAAGAAATGCAAGTGCAGAAAGAGAATGGTTAAAACAACTTTACAACTTTCTGATTACAATCACTTTTCAATTTTGTTTGAAAAATGCGCACATTCTATAATTAAGATTTTAATAACTTTTATTCAGGTTTTCACAACCTGAAGAATGTTAAACTCGGAAAATTCCTAAAAACGCAGCCATATTTTAATTGCAATATTGTAACCTTCCATAATTTGGTTACTTGAAATATCATGCATATTAACTGCAAATATTTCCACTAATCTGATTTCTAAAAAATTTAATAATAGTTTATATTGAGACATTGTCTATCTTGTGCAGCTATTGGTTGGTAAAATTAAATCAATGTTGCCGCAAATGTTAGCTTTGAGCTGAAGTAGCAGATTTTGAAATGTTAAAATGCAAAGTTTGAGAGTTGCAATCTTTGCTTCACATCAACCCCAAAGTGGCGATAGGAAACTGAACTGACCCCAAGGAAATGGACATTATATACTAAGACTACAATAATGGGATACTCACAAATATGAATGTTATCAATACTTGCTTTCAAATTTTATTTTATTTTTTTAAATAGTTAACTTTATCTGGCATAAACAACTGCTTAAAAGATCAGATGTATTCAATAATAAACCCAAGATGATTATATTTACCACTTATGTAGGCTCAGCTCTCCCATTGTTATGGTGACAGGAGATAGTACACTACTCACACTGGAATGTGTCATTAGCAAGGGACATGAAGCAGATTCTCTACCCATTAACTTTTATTTGATTTTGTGTTAACATTTTTACTTTTAATAATTTATCCAATTGGAAAACTTAAATATTAACCAGTACAGGTCAGCCATTAATACACACAAGTCCATGGGTTATCATGCCTATAGTTTTATAGTATAACTAATTTGTCTGATGAATACCCTTACCAATCCATTGCCACCCAATTTTCAAACAGATTTAATGCAAAATACAAAATTTGCTGCTTCATGTTCATCAGAAATATATTTTTAATGTTTTTTTTTTACCTTGTCTTCCTATAAATGATTCAAAACACACCATGATCGTTACAAGTAATTAGAAGAATGAATGGGCGTTTTGATGTATTTCATTTCATGCCAAATTGACACAAAGTATAAGCCAGACTTCACACACGTGGAAGCATATCAAACTCATATAAACAAAAGTGTAAGGTGAACTAAATTGTAATCACTGATTCAAATGAAAAGGTTATTTTTAAATCATGACTTGGCAAACAAAGCATTAAGAAAATGAATTCTAGTGGACAATTCTTGTTAAAAAGAAAAATAATTGTAGCACTCATTTTTAATATACACATGAAGTATCCTTCAAAAATAAAGCCAACAGGAGCACAATAACAGTTGGATAAAGCAAGTTTTCAGCTATATTATTTTTCAACTCTCATCACCATTGGCTTCATTTCATGGGTTGGTACTTATGCAGGTCCGTTGTCATCCATTATCACCACAGAATAGAAATTACTCATTCCCAATTTGTCTAGGTAAAACATTCAGCAAGCATTGACGAATGTTAATGGGTGCAATTTCTTCCATGTGGAGGAATTCAATGATACATCTCGGTGCCATACAAACTTTCCTGTCAGATACTAAGTATTACAAGGAGGAGAAAGATAAAAAAAAAAGAAGGGCTTGATAAGGGCATCAGTGTACGAGTCAAACTTTATTTCCATAATTCTCTACAGAGAGCCTGTTGTTGGTAAGTGATGAGTAATTGGCTATCGAATGTCCTTGGTTCTATGTTTAGCATTATAAATCTATCTTAATTCCTTTAAAAGATCAAGCATATAGGAAGTATCTTAAGAATTTCTTTTATAAGAAGTGCTCTTTGTAGAACATGCAAAGACTTTCTCCACACATAAATCACACTATCAAAAACAAAGTTTAACAAATTTGTTATCCATTTTCAATTGCAGATGTAAAAATCTGAGTGAGAAGTTGACAAATATTATTGATAGCCTAAAACATCCCTGCATCAAGATAAAAGGATTCCTTATTGTTAATTTGGCGACATGGGAGGACACACAGAAATTTTGAAGTGGCACTAAAACAGTATTTGTCAGCTGGGATCATATTAAAAAGAAAAAAAAAGGGGCTATCTGCATGAATAAAGACACATTTGATGCTGCACTTCATTTGTATTTGAGAACTTGAACAGGTTATTTATTTTGCTTTGTACAATCAATATCCTTGACAAAGGCAGACCTGTGTGTGTGTATGTGTCTTCTCATATATATATATATATATATATATATATATATATATATATATATATATATATATATATATATATATATCTCACACAAAAGGGAGAGGGAAATTTGGGTATTTTTTCACATGTAAATTATAAATTTTACAATTTGGATTTCTTTTTGAGTCATCCATTTCCAAAACTCACCCCCTCCCCCTTTAAAAAAAAAAAAAAAAAAAAAAAAAAAAAAAAAGACATTTACCTATAAAATTAACACCAGTAAAACCACTGGAAAAAGTTTCTCATGCTTAAGGAAAAAAAAAAAAAAAAAAAAAAAAAGTGTGTGTGTTGGGGAATGAATTTTGATCAATATTCTTATGTTAAAATCAGAGTGTATCATTAGTTAGTACTTAAAATTTTTTAATACTCACCTACAATTGTTGGTGTATGAAAAGCAAATATCAGATAAACAAACATTTCAAATGGAGAAAAATATAAAAATAATTTTAATTGTACATGAAATTTAATGTCAACTTTGATGTTCTATGAAGAACACTTTTCTTTCAAGTCACTAAACTTTAAGCAATTTTCTTTTATTATTACATTTTGTATTTTGGTTAGATGGCAGTTTGAAATGTTTTGTTTTACTTACAATCTTGTACCAAGACTGAATCAGACAATGAAATCTTTTCAAAAATCAGGCCAATGACCTAAACACTAAGACAGTTTCTAAGATTTCTGGCAGGTATTTAACATGTATAATCCAAAACATCCAAAATCATAAAATGTTTCAGCTGAGAGGGAGTAAAGAAAATTATAGATTTTAATATAAAATCTTAAAACTAGTTTGGAAAATTGTTGTAATCAATATTTCTTTATCTACCCAAAATCCTAATTTCATAGAATTAGAATATCGATAATGTTTAAACAAATGTGTAGATCTTTTATGGCTATAAAGAATCAATTTTATTATCAGCCATGCTAATTTGCAATTGTATAGATGGATTCAAGGTGAAGTCAAATGATTTTCAAATGGAAAATACATTGAAACTTGAATTCATCTATCGCATTAAAATAGCTTACAGGATAATTTTTTTCTGCTGAGGTGCATTTTACTGGTTCATATTTTGCATTTTCAAGTTTTTTAAAAACTTGGACAGATAAGATTAGAAAGTGGAAAAAAATTCTGTGATTTCATTGGATTAAAGTAATGTTTTTTTGTTGATGTAATTGTACATGTATAAGCAGAGAGGGGGAGATTTAAAAATGCAATCAACTTTTACACTTATGTACTGATAGGAAACACTAAAATTTTAAATTAAAAAAAGAAAGATTTTCTTCGGTCATGTCTGGGTATGTTGCATAACAAATGTGAACATTTTTATATCCCTCCCCTACTTCCACACACAATTCTATCAACAAAAAATATTTATCTGATGAAGTTGGCATTACACAGAATTGAATTTTTTTTTCCACTGTCATTCATTTGCCTAACATTGTACTGCTATAAAAGATAGCTAGGATTCTTTTTAAGATTTAAAGAATGTTTTTTTATAAGCATTTGGAAGGAAACTACAACTTGAATCCCAACAACTTTCCATTCAGTAAATGAATGTTCAAATACTATGAGGCAGTTATTTATAAAAAGGAGTTTTGTTTAAATCAACAAATATACAGATGCTTACAAACTATTAGATTTTATCTCCAAATCCTAAATTATTCAACTTTGATTAAATAAAAAAAATCTGGCTTAGCCCCACTCTTTCTCTACTCAGAGCAGGAATTCAGTTTTTAAATTTGAAAGACTTGTTTTAAGTTACGTACATTTTTTTCTTTCATAAAAATGCTAACTTGGAAAATTTTCAATGGCTTTTTTTGAAAACTCCTTAAATTATTTTGCTAAGATTCTTTTAAAGCTAACAAGTATTTCTGTAAGTGTGTGTGTGAGTGCATGGATACATTGCTTAGATATATGCATGCACTTTGTTTCAAATAAGGAAACTTTATCAAGATGTTTAACAGAACACAAATGCTCAGATGCTAATTAAGAACAGTTTGAAAATATGCTCATTTCAGGGAAAATAAGACAAAAATTATCTCCAATTGCCAATGATAGCATGGATTAAAGGGCCATAAAAATGATGGCAAAATTACCTATCAAGATTTTTGGTGACCAACATTGCCATTCAACATGGAATTTCGTTTATATTGTTTGGAAGAAAGTTTTGATGCAATCAATATAGAACATGTTTTTGAAGAAAATAAACATTACATTTTTTTGAAAGGCTTTAGCAATAATGTCAGCATTTGAGCATTGTGGAACTTTTTAAATCTTGCATAAGGAAACGGAAAATAAATGCAAATAAGCTCATCAGTAAAATGCCTAATAACATCGAAGAAAAACCATGAGCAAGAGAAAAGGGGGCAAATTGTTCAATTTGACAAGTCACAATGCCAATTGTTTGCATATATTTATTCTCTTATCACTTTCATGCTGACTGTTAACTGAAAATATTGTTCAACATAATAAGGAAATTGTTGTGGTCATATTTTGTTTTTAATGCATTTGAGATGATGGCAACTGGATGAAGAAAAAGAGGAAGAGAACAAAATGTTGCTTGATAGTCATGCCGACTGAAGATAGGCTGAAGGGGAAGGATTGAGGAGGAGAAAAGCAGCCACCACACAATCAGAAATGGTGACCATCACCAAGTGAACAGAGTGAGAAAAAGAGGGATGAGAAAAGTGAGGAAGAAACAACATGGAAGCAGAATTTGATCAAGACAGAAACAGTAACAAATGTGGAGCAGACAAATCGAATGTCCTTACCAAAGAATGGATTTGTCAAAAGAAACAATGATTTCCCCACCCCACACTTGCAGGGTTTAAAAAAAGCAAAAGGTAGAACAGAAAAAAAAAAAAAAAAAAAAAAAGTCAGAAGAAAAAGAAATGGTTTTGCATTTTTAAGCTTTTTGGTCAAATGGTACACTGTTTAGATAACCATTTTGTTTTTATCACAGCACCTCATTCAAATTCCATTCCCATGAATTAAAACTTTTTAATTTCTCCTCAATTTAGTTGTTATGATGGTTTGTCTAATAGTCAAACAAATTTTAATTTTTTTTTTTTTTTTTTTTTTTTTTAATTTTTATTGAATCTTCTCTTCCAAATCCAGCAGTCAAATGCCAATAGTAATCCGACCTATCACTTTTACAACAATAAGTTATGTCTTGGGGACAGGGGGCAGTGATGGCATCTCCATATTATTAATCAATATTTACATATGGTAATAATTCTATTCTGCTCCCTTCAAGTGATTCTGCAGACATAGTCTGAGTCCAATCCCGCCACATACCCACTGAGTCCCACATACCATTCACACCTGACCATTGTTCTGAGTGCAATCTATCGACATCCCCATCACTGACAGGCTCGGTACGTTCTGGCACCTCGTAAGTGTCATCTTCCCAGTCAATCTGGTCAAGGTCCAAAGGTGGAAGCATGTTGTAAATATCCAGCAAAGATTGCTGAGTGGCCGACATTGATGCTAGTTCATGGGCTGCAGACATTGTTGGGCCATCAGGAAGGTTGCACTCCAGTTGCAACCTACAGGGGTCCATTTCTATGGACAATGGAGATTCTGATTCTTCCTTAATATCATTGGGCCTCACAGAAGTCTGCAGAAACTTTTGCACTAATTCAGTTTTGGCTTGGCTTAGCATGTTATGAGGTTGCCGAGAGTCACGTTTATTTGATTTTAAGTGGATGTCTGAAGGTAGAATATTGTTAGATTCTCTTTTTATTTGATTTGCTCGAATTTTTTCAATGACATCTCCTTTTAAATGGGAACTGCTGACCCCGGATTTGGCTTGCAACTCTGCTATTAGTTGGGCTGTAGTCTTTACTTTAGAAATTTTTGTTTTGTCTTGCTTAACAGTCAAATTGCGTTTATTAGCAGAGTTCTTGAAGGAGTCATTACTGTCACCACTGACATACATAAAACAATTGTCCATCACAGACTTGGATTTGGCGAGAACTTCATTTGGTTTTTTCTTCTCAGAAGACTCTAAATTTGGGCACATGCCATTTACTGTCTTTTCTTTAGAATGTAAATCTTTAGCAACATATTTTTCTGGGGGGGGAACACGCTTAGCTGGTAGTCCTCCCCCTGGGTCGTTCAAAGTTCGCTTTTTAGATAAATTGCCTTTTACAGCATTTTTTTGATCATTGACTATGCCAGCATTGATGCGATCCTTGGAATGATTCGAAATTGGGGAACATTTCCCTAAATGTAATGAACCAACTTTTGATAATGAAGTTTTTTCTTTCGACACACAATTCCGATCACAACCTGCCGGACTGCAGGGTTCATTTTTCTGGTAGCTATTTTCACAACGGCCTTCATTGGAGGCACTGTTCCCAAAGGGAGGGTTTGGACAAATTCCTTTTGATGTTGGTGTTGAAGACAATGACATGTTAGGACTATGTTCTTTAGGAGTTGAAGATGATGGTGTGCCAACTCTCCGAGGGCACATGTTTTTTGGGGAAATATTAGACCCTTTTGGGATTGAAGTCAAAGAGGGGCCAACCCTCAATGGGCAGACCAAATTGGGAGAAATATTTGACCTTTGTACACCATTGGGATCAACTTTGGGAGATACAGGATGCAATCCTGGAGTTCCTGGTGTTGCATTCACACGCAAACATGGAGAATGTATTTTGTTGGACATAGATATTCCATATGGACTAGATTTAGACAGGGCAGGTGAGCAACGAAGTGAAGCTGGGCTGACTGGCCGTGAACCGGCCCCACCCCCACTAAACACTGTCATGCTCGGGCTCGGTGAATTTGTATTTATCCGTTCTCCATTGACAGTGTAGTTATCTGATGGAGAAATGAGCTTATGCCAACTGCGCACCAGTTTCTTTGCCCGCCGTGCCAAATCATCATTTGTCGTCTTCTTGCGGAGATCATTAACCATTTTTCCAATTCTCGTTTGCTATAGAGAAAAAAAAAAAAAAAAAAAGAAAGAAATGTACATTAATACATATTTAATTTGCAAAGTGAAAGGCACAGAGTGTACAAAACTGTATATTCTAAGAGTACACAAGTATGGAAATTAAATGGAATTGTATCAAAACCTTTATTTAAATACTTGTACAATTGATATAAAATTTTTTGGAAAATTTAAATACTATTAGATATTTACAAAAAGACTGCTGGTGTATATCAACTGGCACCCCCCCCAAAAAAAAACAAAACAAAAAAAAAACTTAAATTCACTTATCAAGTTCTAAATAAACAAACGAAAACTAGATAAAATTAAATTGTAACATCTTTAAGATGAAGAGACAATTTAACTTTGTATAAGTGGTAGCAAACAACATATCTTTAGTAGGTTACTTTAAGACATTTTATTTAACCATAACATATTTTCAAAAGCGACACTGAAAACAAAACTGTCATGATAGATTGAGCAATACATAGTCTGATTTTCAAGCTATATGAAAACATTTGCATTTAAATTTAATTATAGGAATTCATTTTAACAGCAATGAAAATGCAAGTCTAGTTTTATTTCACACAATGCAATTTAGTATTAATCACAATATTCAACATTCAGTATTTAACAATTTCAACACATCATTAATTGAATACAAGGTCAATTCTATTCTTTGATGAAAAAACATTTTCACAACATTTCTCAGTGAAAAATTTTTTTTGTGTTCATTTATGCTAAACAGGTTGTTTAAATAACCATCTTAATTTGTGTACTTTAAATGTTTATTTTGATTAATGAAGTGCAAAGTTTTAGGTTTCATTGGTAACAACTGATATCTTACCTCAAGTGCCTCCCTTGTAATAGGGTAACTTTCCAAGGTGGCAATAACCTCCAGGACAGCGGATATGTCCGATACCTGCAAGAGAGAATTCACAAACATAATATGAACATAAGACATGGAGATATGGTCGTATAAAATACTAGTTTTATATAAGAGTATAAATATTGGTTTCAAATTTTATCCTTTTGTTAAAAGGTTAGCTTTAAGCTATAAATATACAGATAAAGAGGTAAATAATTTTACTTCAATGAAAACAATTCATTCAACTCTAAAATGTTAGATTTGTATTTCAAGTTGACAAATAATATAATTTTGGCAGAGTAACATTGGAGATTTTTTTTTTTAACTAATAGCTTAAAATCAACAATCTAAGATGTAATCACAAAGCAAAGAAGAACTTTCCTGCAACAATATTGAGCTATTCAATGAAACAAAAATCAACATATGCCAAGCTTGCTTGATACAGATTTAAATTTATGAAACAATAATAATGAAAGATAAATTATACCTTGGATAGAAAGAACATATTTAGGTAAACATTCTTTGGGAAACATACCAGCATATGATAAAAGTACAAAATTCATTCAATTTTCAAAAGTTAAAATCTATTTAATACTGGTTTCATATTATATTTTCTAAAAAAAGAAAAAAAGAAAAAAAAAGGCATAAATATAAAGTTAGAGGAGACGTATTTACATTAAACTTTTGAGAGTTCTATGTTCATAAGAAATTTTATTTTAAAATACCATTTAATACTTAATTTTTTGTATCAGGCTATATTAAAAACTTCTAAATAGACAAAACCAGAATTCATTTCTGAACATACACAAAATATAAAAACTTTCATGTTAATCACTTTTTCTATAACATTAAATTGCACAAAATAGTACTACAAAATATTTGAGCAAATTTATGAACATCATATATTTTGTACAAAATTACTTTTAGTTTTAAAGAAATTACTTTAAGGAATATCAAAAATTGTATTCAAAACCCTTAATCTTTTGAAAATTACACTGGAGACTTAATTATTCTCTAACACTTACCTGCTAAAAGAGATCATTAATTATTCTCAGAGCAAAAATTAAAAAAAAAAAAAAAAATAAAAAAAAAAAAGGTTTCCTATACAGTCAATTGTAAATATGAATAAAATAAAGAATAGTTTTCAAGTAAAGGCTAAAATTCAAATTTTCATTGCTAGAACAAAAAACATTTCCATAAGGCCTAAAAGCAGTTCCCAATCTGAACACCTGATTGCTGAATAAAAATAGCATTTTTAGATAAAGATGAATTATAGTAAAGTTGTATAAGAAAGAAAAAAAAAAAGCAGTTCTAACAAAATTGACAAAATCCATTAGAAAACAACAAGATTATAGCTGAAAAACAAAATACAAGATGACCAGGCAGGTTTTTAGGTGAATGAGCAGAATTTACTTTTACAAAATCAGATCTTGATCATCTGGGATTACTTTCTTGCATTAAAAACCTTTTGGAGATAGAAAGAAAATCTTCAAAAGAGAAGGCACTGAGGGAAATTCAATAAACGTCAAATAAATACCAATATATTTCTTTCAATCAAGACACTAATCGACTATGTCGTTAGCAAAGAATGAGGCAGAAGCATAACTTAACAAGTTTCAAGGTTTTATATGAGTAGGTTTTATGCATTGAGAAAATGTAAACATTCAAGGACATAAAAGGTATGAAAGACCTATCAATATTAGAGATTTTTATATTTCATTTACCTTACATTCAGTATACAAAATGGATCTATAGTAATCATGCTTATATAGTTTTTATTTAAAATGAGTATTTATAATAGAAACCTTTAAATTGTATAAAAGTAGATAAGTATTGTTACTTTACAGTTCTGAGGGTGTGACCAAAATAATTCAAAATAAGTATACACAAAAGTTACAAAACCAGGTATTGATGAGTGCATTAAGCTGTCTAAAATAAATGCAGTTCAATGTCATTGTAATAATCAGCAAGAAACAAAGACATGAACATAATCCTTGATTGGAAAAAAAAAAAAAGTTTATACAACTGCAAGATAATTCTTGTGTTCATAAATGAAATTGTCAATTATAAGCCTTACAGAATTTGAGAAATTAAAACAATTATATGTGCATATAAATATATATGTTGCTATAGATTTCAGATCAAGATGAATCAGAATCCAAAAGAACCTTCACTAGCCCTCAGTCATCACAGAACAGAAAATATCAAAGACAGCTCTTTTTTTTTTACTGACAGTCTCGTATCTAAAATTACAATTAGTGCTCTATAAATTCATCAACTACATGCATAATTCAACCACTATCAAATTAAACTAACCCAATATTTTCAAGTACTGAACAGAAATACCTAAAATGTTTCATAAAACAGCTAAATCAAACTATACTGAAAACTCAGAAACTGTTGAATGAAAAAAAGGGTAGAAGATTCATTGAAAGTATTTATAATCATGAATAAATAAAAAAAGTACAACTACTTGAAAATGATAATTGCAATTCCATGAATGTAGAGAGAGAGAGAGAGAGAGAGAGAGAGAGAGAGAGAGAGAGAGAGAGAGAGAGAGAGAGAGCAAAGTCAATACTTCTAAGTAGAGGAAAGTAAGGGTTATTATCTGACATTACTCAACTAATGTGCAGTGTATAAGAACAGATCAACCTTGAGACATAAATCAGTCACATTCCCAATACACAGAGTGTATATTAAAAAAGTATATGGAGCATAATGTTACTAATTAGTGCAAAGAAAATGATTTTCTATGTGGATCAGAAACAATGGATTTGGTACAGCAATATGAAGTCAGGCTACAGACACCTGGGGAAGAGATTAAACTAAAGACAGCTAACAGTTTGTTTTTCAGGCTTTTTAAGATGACTAGATGGAATTTCTAGACTACATTGTACCAAAATACAACATATAGAATGAGACCTGCTTCACAAAGTAAGAGTTTGAATTAAGCAATCTTGCCAACCAAAACACCACTATGCAACATTCTACACAAAATGAGAAACACTTTCAAAATGCCCAATTTAATGTAAGAACTAAAAGAAAAAAATTCTAAATAAATCTTTGAAAAGAAACATTTTCCCACTGTGCCAAATTTAAAATACCTTAAGTTTAGTTTTCTTTAAAGATGTTTTCACCTGGCAGGTAAAATTTAAGCACAGAAAGGCTATTTGAATGTTGATTTTAAAAAGAGTACTTTTATTACAGGAAATAGGACTTAAAATAAAAGACATTACATATAAACAAAAAGCTCCTTGTAAAAAAAAAAAAAAAAAAAAAAAAAAAATGGGTGTGAAAAAAGCTCAGGTGACTGCTATTTTGAAATTATAATAGTGTATGTGTGTTTAACTGACCACATGTGCTTAAATTAGGTAAATTTCATTAACAGCTATCTCAAAAGATAATTTTTTTCTTAAACCTAAGGATATATCTACAGAGTATAAAGACATTTAGTCAAATATCTATGATCTATTGCAGCTCATGTGTCCTGAACTGCTATGCAATGCAAATATATTTACATATCACTTTTGGAACTAACACACTAAAAGATAATAAAGTTCATATTTATATGAATTTTCCATTTTTTAATATTGGTTCACCTTTTTAAATGCAAGGAGAAAGTGAATTAAATGAGTAAGTAATCCTTAGTAATTTTGTTTCAACAGAATCCAATGTTCCATTATTATTATTTTTTTTTTTTTACTGATGTTCCTTACAAGACCAAAAAGTCTAAGTAAAGGAGCATTATAACTAAAGCATACAAACATTCCTACAACGATTTGTTGATAGATAAGAGTGTGCATAAATCAGGTTTAATGAGATTTAGTTTGATAATTATTAGCAATTGGGGAGTGGGGAGAGAAGAAAGATGAGAATTAGATTTTTTTAAAAATGTGATAAAAATAAGTTACCAGAATAGTGGATTTTAGATATTTCTTTCCAAACAGTTTGAATAAGAAATTTCTATGATCAAACTAAAATTATAGACACAGGAATTAATTAAAACTAATTCTTAGTTAATTTTCAAAAATTCTAACTAATCAATGGTGGAATAAAAATAATAGTACGTACTACTACCCACTATTAAGGAAATTATATACTTTAAAATTTATATAATTAAAATGCACGTGCTTGAAAATTTATATATATATATATATATATATATATATATATATATATAAAACACACACACACAATGGTAATCATATGAAATGGAGAAAAATTTATGCATTCTAACAAATTAAAAAAAAGAAAAGATAACCAACTTGCCCTGTTTTTCCATCAGGAACTTTTTTTTAAAATAACCAAATTGTTTAACTGTCAATTCATTTTTTTAAAAAATGATTACTAAATTGTTTTTTTTTAAATATGAAAGTGACTAACAAACAATAGCTATTCAGAGATGAAGCATTTAGCTGACGGTTTGCTATAAAGCAAAAAATGTTATAGTGAAAGCTTGAGTAATAATACTCAACTCTTCTTTGCTATATACAGAACTCACAAAAATATTATGAATCAAAATTGACTTTAATATGTAAATGAGCTTCAATTCTATTGAAATAAACGAAAGCACTTTTTCATTTATTGCAATCTCAATTTATGAGAATGACAAAAATTGTTATAGATTGCCATGGCATACACTGTGACTACAACAATGTCTACAATTTAAGATCAAAGGTCATTTTACAGTTTTAGTTCTTGAAATCAACAGAGCAAAAATAATTATGACCTTTGGTGAGTAATTAAAAAAAATGAATACATGAACTTGTCTAAAAAATCAAGTGAAAAAGACCAAACATTTTATCATGACCTCCGTGAAACTCATAAGAAAACAAGCCTTTGAAAATGAACTCAGACTAGAGGAAAGTTTCAGATTTTAGAATTTCTAAGGTTGTACTAAAAAACGTCATATTAATAAAAGTAAAAAGTATCCAAACAAATTGTTTTAACCTACTATATAAAAAAGTTCAATCGCACTATTAAGCGAGGAAACAAAAAAAGATCCAACTTGCATATCTGATAAACTAGCTTAAATTTCAAGTTGAATATTTAAAATATGGTTTCAAATAAATTTTAATAAATCTTTATTAAAAATAAAGTCAATATTAAAACAAAAACAACGCTTTTATTGAAAATAACATGATCAAATTAGGGTCTAGGCTATCACCCAATTTTATTTTTGTAAAAGTAATCTATTTTATTAGGTCCTTAGATTAACAGCTGGAAAAACTAAAACAGCAAAAATAAACGAATATAGTAAAAAGCATTTGCACCCAACGAATTCAAAATGCAAACATTAAAAATTATTTTTAAAATCATTAAGCATGGTCTAATTATCATAGATAAAATTATGGAATAACATACAATATAGTAGCAGTGTTGTAACGAAACCCTAACATACACGACCATTATGGACATATAAGGTTTTCTAGGCGAATTTTGTACAAGATATTTGCTGTTATAAAAAGTTGATAGCTAATATGAAAACTTCATGAGTAGGCGGTTAAATTATGTGGGAAATAATAACGAAAAAAAGAGGGTTAAAAAAATTGAGTTTTCAATGAAAATAGAAGTTCCATATGTAAAAGCTGCAAAAAGCCCCACGTAGTAGCAGTAGTCGTCGTCGTCATTTGTATAATAAAGTGGCACAATTTGCTGAGAGAAGGGGACCTATCAGCTGATCTAAGAGAGACTTTTCTTACACAGATGCCAAGGATAGTTTTACTTTTAATTATTAGGACTAATATATTGCCTTAATGAAGTTTACTGCTAGGAATAGAGTCTGCATCCATTATTATTCAACCTTTTTTTTAATTATTTATTTATTTATTGTAGTTTACTTTATTAAAACAAATTCAAGTGTGTCGTTAAGTTTAAGAAGCCTACTCTTCCATTTTCTTGCTGCACCGACTACTTTTTTTTTTTCTCCTTATTTTCAAATACCTTATTTGAAGATTGTTCAAACAACTTCAATTGTCGACCTTCAAATGTGTTGATTGCTTAGGTTTTTAAATTAATGCTAGTTAAAAACCGGTACTCACGACTAAAGGCGATTTTTTTCTTTATTTTTTTTGGCTTGGAGAGTGAAAGAAAAAAAAAAAACAGGATACGCGTCAATTTGAAAGGAAAAAGTTATTTTTTCTTATTCGAAAGTTTTTTTTTTAATTATTAGATTCAATGCAATTTCACATTTCGCACCTCATTAAAAAGTTATACTTTAATTCAGTAGAAAAAAAAAAGGGAGGAGAGAATTAATGAGTTAAATGTTGTTGTTGGGGATCGGTTTAGAGTAGAAAAACTCGTATAGACTGATCCCCGACTTTATGGCCATCCCATTCAGGTTCTGTCGTGTCGGCTTTTAACTGCTGCTGCTGGGGTTTTTATTCATGTCGAAGCTGCTGCCTTCGACTTAAGGCAGAAAAATGGAGGAGTACTTTTTTTTTCCTTTATAGGAGGGGGACAAAAGAAAACGATAAGAGAATATTTATACAAAAAATTATTTCAACGAAAAAGAATCCAACTAAAATATCTGAGCGTGCTTAAGGCAAGTTTATTTTCCATTTTGTCGATTAAAACAAAAACTGAGAAAAAAAAAAACAAAAAAACATTCCTATTTGCCTTTTTCTTACATTTATTGTTGCCACCTAGAAACCGTGGATATTTATTCAAGTTTAATTCATAGAAAAATATTTTAATTAAAGCATCCTTAAAAAGAAAAAAAAAAGTGTCGTTTGTGTTCATAGCTCAAGTTTTAGTTGGAAAATATCGATACACGAGGCACCTTGAATATTTTTTTTTATCAGATTAGAAAAAAAAGTAGTAAAATATTTAATAGAAGAACAGGAAAAAAGCAAAAAAAATCAGAAGGGAACAGAAATAAATGTCCTAATAAAACACATTTACTACAGACGCCATAAGAACCTACTAGACAAGCACATACACATCTAAGTAAAATTGTTCAAAAGTCTTTCCTAATTTCACATCATGCTTTAATGTCAAATTATTAATAAAATCTAAAGAGTTAGCTTTCCAAAAAATAAAGTTTTAGCTAAAGTTAAAGTGCCAACACACAAATAAAAACCCATGTCCTATAACGAACAGCGAATATGTATTATGATAAACGGACGCCATGAGAGGAAGCTAGTCATAAACTACCTTGACAAATATTTTAAATATCTCTATAAAATGTTTACTGCATCGCAAATAAAACTTATGATAAAAAAGGTTGATCATTTCTCTTCGTAATCCTGACAGACGAGATAAACAAGTGAAAATGCTTTTTTAACTAAGAAAAAAAGCATCATATCGGAAGCGAAGAGCTCAGGTGTATGTGTGAGTTTCTATTCGAGGCCTTCCCCCTTTTTTTTTTTTTTTTTCTTTTTCGCAAAACATCTAATATGTCCTCTTTCGCGAGAGTTGCTTGGCTGGGATCATTTTTATAACAACGAAAAAAGCATCTCTTCGGCTCACTAAAAAGGAAATTCTTACATTGTTGTCGTCGTCAAGAGCCCTCGTAAGCTTCTCTTTTATCTCTATAGGAGAGAACTGCATCGGGTCGATGGAATAGTCCTAGGTTACGGCACTTCTGCCAAGCGAGTGACCGAAGTACAGCCACCAGAATGGCGGTCGCCCATACATTGTGAGGTTTTCTAAACCGCACTGCCATCTGGGAAACCTAGCTCTTCTCTGACGTCAACGACCGAGCGTGACGTCACACTCGGCTATCTCCGTAAATTCAGCTTGAGCGCATGCGTACACACACTAACATACACTTATTCACACTAGCTTAGCATTTCTCGTCTAGTTTGGGATTTGCTTTAGAGGCTTTATATAAAGCAAGTTTGATGCCAGAATAATAATTAATTTTATATTATCCCCACTCACACTGCTGCCGAAATTAATTTAACCCATGTCTCTTTCCCCATTCTAATAAAGCACTCGTAGTTGTAAAAGTAATTGCGAACTATTCATTTTAAAATTCAAACCGTATTTGCCCTGGCCCCTATCTCTTTGTGGGGTTCCAAATAGGGTTTTTCTTGCTTGAAATAAAAATAGATTTTTTACAAATAGTAATTGAAAAATTTTTAATTAATTAGATTTTGGTAAAATTCTAAACGGTTATTGTGAAAAAAAGAGAAATTTAAATTTTAAAACAAGTTACACTCACTCATGCGAGTCAAATTTAAAAAAAAAAAACTTGTTTAAATTATTGTTAAATGAAAATTTATTCATGTGGTTAGACTAGTATTGAATTGCAGAATTAAAAAAAGTTTAGTTCAATTTTTCTGCTATTTCAGCTCTTATCGTGCATCATCAGCATAAAAAATATAGCTGAAAATGGCTAAAATTTTTATTAAATCGCGTTTATCAAAGTAATAATCCTATTCTTTGTGTCATATCGAATTCATTTAAAAATATATTTTTTTCTAATTTTGGTTTCTCTACAGATTTGAGCTCACTGACCATTATTACCACGAGGTTTTGAGGTGGTGAGACCAACAACTACAAGGTAGAGAGACGATGACTTCAAGTTAGGAGGACAATGAAAAACTGAGTTTCTGCTTGTAAAATCTATTGATTGCGTCTATGATGCCTGTATTAATTATTATTATATTATAAAATAAAATAAAAAACCGGAACGGGAAGAAACTAAATTAAACACCAGACGAGTTTCCTTGTAATAATAAAATAAACAAAAATTTTAACTTCGCTTTTTTAATAATCGAATTCTATTTCTTTATAAAAAAATCTCTTTCGGTATATTTTATTTTTTTTTTAAAACTATATTTGCCGTTCGGTTAACATCTTCCATCACTAAGATTTTTTTTACCAAATTATATTATTTTTAAAGAAATTCTCAGTAAACCCGAAATATTATTCTTCTGAAAGTCTATTTCTTGGTGGTAAAATAAAAAAAAAATGATCAAAATGTACTTTATAAAAATTAAACTAAAAAACAAACAAACTTTGTTTAAATCGCAACACATATGCTCACTTAAAATATTTTTTGCGTGAACTGAAAAACGTATCTGCTTTTCCTGGAATACCTTAAGCTAGGTTAGCGTAGTTCAAGAATCTTCATTAATTTTTTATTATTAACTCACTACTAAAAGTAATAATTGTTTCAAGACAAGGACGAAAAAACACATTTTTATTCGTTTTAGTTGTAGGTTTTCTTTTATTTGCTGAGACAATAAACAAAAAACATTGTCACATAAATGTTGGCCTTCTCTAAAACATTTGCAAAAATGGACAAATGAATAAAATTATATAATTTGCAATAAATATATATTAACTTTTTCAGAAAAAATTAAAGTAAAACGAAATTAAAAAGAAGTTTATTTTGTAAACTAAAACCAACGTAATTCCAAAATTAAACATTTTTGTCTATTTCGGTATAAAAAAAACAAAGATTTCTTTTGTTTTATCATCCGCTTCTTATTTTATTGAATAATTAATAATGTCTACATCGACTATGTAATAACTCTTCTTTTATTATTTGATTTAAATAAAAATAAAATTATCGGCAATCGTGAAGCTGTAATAATTGTCTCCTTTTTTACGGATCGAGTTATGTAAAAACTTCTAATTTATTCAGCAAAAATTAATAAAGAAGATATTTGCTTAAAAAAATCGTACATTTGCATAAAAACCCATTGTTAGATGTAAATAATATTAATAAAATAAAATTATCAGATTTTCTATTTTTTTTCATTTGTTTAAATACGAAAGTAAGATGGGGAAAAAAAGAGCAAAAATTTACAACAGTTTTATTTGCTGCGCCTCATATTAGGAGTCTGCTTTATTTGCACTTTAATATTATGTACTTTCGATATCCATACGTATGTATTTTTAAATTGTTAACTTTGTGAATATTTATAAATCAAACAACTATTCATAAATCACTTAATTAATATACAACGCTATTAAGCGAGTTTCCTGAACATTTTTTTTCTTAAAATCAGTTTATATCTTTTTATTTTTTAATTTTTAACTAGCAACCGTTATTCATTTAAAAAAAAATACTTAAAAAAAATTAAAAAAAAAAAAAAACAAAACTTTTAGCCTCTCTTGTTTTCTTTTATTTACTTTTTCGGGGACTTCTTCGTACCCTAAAAAAATCGTTATTAAACAATGCGAATTAAAATAATGAAAATAAACAATGAAAATTTAATTTTGACAGTATGCTACTGCAAAATTTGGCATGGAAAATTCTAGGTTTTAAAAACAAAAATAAAAAAGAGTACAATAAAAAATAGTAAGTAAAAAGACAGCGAGAAAATATGTTCTTTTAAAGTAAAAAAAATCAAACAAGAAAATCTTTTATTAAATAAGCAGAGATGCTAATTTACGCTATATTTAATTCAATAAATTAAACAGAAACTAGTTCCATATGGACACCTAAATAGAGCATTTGAAGAAATAATAACGTGACCCACATTTGAAGTTACGGAAGCTCCTTAAGAGAAAAATTTTAAGCTAGTTTTCTAATAATTGTAATTCAGTTTATTTCGCGCAATTTATCCTTAGCCTTCTTTTAGTTGTTTTATGTTTACAATATTATTTTAATCATTATCAAGTGATATTTAATCAGCCTTGATCGGTTAAAAATGAAACAGTGTTTCAAATGTTTGTTTTCGGTTGATTGAGAAAGTAAAGAAAGATTTCTTCGTCGCCTACAAAAATAATTACTTACATTGCACTAGAAAAGCACATTTCAAAAATAAATAAAAAAAAACTTTAGTAAAATTTTAAATTAATTTTTAATCTGTTAATGTGGCCTGCACGATAATTTTTTTGTTAAGGTTCTTGTCCTTGTGAATCATCCGATTATTTGAATTTTTACGTGATATAGAATTTTAATGCATAATTAATTCGTGAAACTACATTTACTCGTTTTCTATTCAATTCTAGCAATTTCAAGTTCGTGATTAGACTTTTTCTCAAAAATATAAAGTTGAGTCTGACATTTTTCTAGGAATGTCAAGTTCATATAGTCTGGCATGAGAGGGTTCAGTTAATTTTCAGACTATTTCCGTATTTAAAAAAAGATAATTTTAAAGACTTTATTGAAATATATAAAAGGCTAAATCATAAATGAAAGTAATTTGAATAACCCATTTTATGCACAAAAGTTAGTCATCTCAACTATTTAAAATGAAAATTTATGATTTATTAGAGCATTAGCTATCATTTTTTTTCATTTTCTTTTTATTATTCCTCATTAAAAGTTGCCAATGTGACTTTTTCCATTTTATTTTCTCGTAGTTTAATAAATGCCTAGTTAGAATGTGAAGCCTGATAAAAATTATAACTTGAATTATCCTAAGTCATGCTATGATTTCTAAAAATTCAAATTGAAAGTAAGTAATAAAAAAATATGAGAGTTTGAAGGAGTTACAAGAAGTTTTATTTAACTAACTTGTTGACCAAACGTATAAAAGTTATGGCCCCTGACAAGCTTCCGTATTACGAAAATGTGGGTCAAGATACATTTTTAGTGTTACGTCGACTGTCTGGCTATCACACATGCCATCGATCTTAGCATATGTACTTGTCTGCAGCTCTATATTGTGACTTATTATTATTACTTTTATTTTTATTTCATTTATCTAACTTTTATCAACATGCTACTAAGGCATATCTTACGTGTACCTTCATTTGTTTTTTTTTAACAACTTTTGATAGCATTTTTTTCTTTTTTATTTCAAATATATAAAAAATAATAACAAGGGAATTAAAAGTTAGTGTTGTAACTAGTGTACAATGTACACCATAGCCATGTGGTAAAAAAAATTAATGAATGTAATACCTTGTATATAACAGAAAATTTGTTTGCTTATAAACGTTGTAGAAAGGTGCTTTTTGGCTAATTAAAAAGAAAAAAAATGTCTTGTCATTTTCCTGCATTTCATTATGTCGTTTTGATGGAAAATATGGCAAATATCTCGTAATTTGTTAAAAATGTTTTGTTTTTCTTTTGCTTATAGTTTGATTATTTTTTTAGGTAAGGTCGTTAAGAATAAAAATAACTGATTTTCGTATTTATTTATTTCACTCCATTGTTACGAAGACATTTCTAAAAAAAAATAATTCATAAGTCTTTTTAATTTTTATTTACTTTTTTGGTAGATCGTCTGCCTTTAAGTCTTTTTGCTCCGTGATTTATGACTTATGAGCGATTCTGTTTTTTGTTAGTGTTTTTAAATGTTGAAACTTTTTGACTACCAAGAAAACAACTTTATTTTTAACAAGTTATTTTCTGTCGTTTCGAGCGGTGATTAATACGCATAGACAAACTAAATTTCTATAAAACAAAGGAATATGTTTTAGTTTTCTCCAATGTTTTAAGAGTTTATTTTCGTGCAACTGCTCTGTATAAGAAGGTTAATGTCACAAAAAAGGTCACGGCATCACAAACCGTTTAAGAAACTGACAATTGCAATCACTGAAAATCTCCACTTGTCACATAAAAAAATCTAAGGGACAAAAAATAAATATCGGGGAGACAAATCTATGACTATTAAATAAATCCTCACAAGAGCGAAGCA